GCACTACTATACAGTACTACACTGCCCCACAGCACTACTATACAGTACTACACTGCCCCACAGCACTACTATACAGTACTACACTGCCCCACAGCACTACTATACAGTACTACAATGCCCCACAACATTGCTTTTAAGTACTACGCTGTTGCAAGATACTACCAGAAAGTACAACCCTGCTATAACACAGTACTAAACAGTACCATTTTGTACCATTATCAAAATAGAAATGTGTAGCAGAGTACTTCATAGTACTACAAACAGATTCTTAGTACTACAGCATACAAGGAACTTCATAGTACTCTCCTCTGCCTCCCCAGGGGACTCCCTGTTGAAGCATTCTGGGATGCGGTTCACTACCAAAGACCGGGACCAGGACCAGTCGGAGAACAACTGCGCGGCGTACTACCAGGGGGCGTGGTGGTACCGGAACTGCCACACCTCCAACCTGAACGGACAGTACCTGAAAGGAGGCCACGCCTCCTACGCCGATGGAGTGGAGTGGTCCAGCTGGACCGGCTGGCAGTACTCGCTGCGGTTCACTGAGATGAAGATACGACCCAGGAGACCAGAGTCCTGAACCGGGCCCTGAGGCAGGACCTGGGTCTGGCCTTCTGTTGCTGCTCCCATCTCCAGAACCGTCCCTGAATGTTAGGAAATGTTCTGATCCGTTCCTGTGCTGCTTGTTACTGTCAGTACTGGGTCCTACCGATGAAATCCAGTCACTGTAAAACCCAGGATTTTGTTATTAAACAGTTTTTGCCGAACCAGTCTGCCTGAGCCAGTCTTTGTGCTTTAGATCCCAGAACAACTAAAGCTGTTAGAGTTCTGCTCTGGTGTTCGGACCGCTGCAGGATCAACTAATCCTCATCTGATTCTGTGTTTCAGTCTAATCCACCTGGCAAACCAAGTCTGATGGGTTCTGAACCAGGGGGGGATGATGAACCAGGAACCAGGAAGGGTTCTGCCTCTGATCTATCAGTTCACATCGTCTCCAGAATAAGGGAGACTTTCTAATGTATTTCTGTTCATTCTGGTTCTAATCCGGTCGACTCCTGTAGGTTTTGACTGGTTCTAATCCGATCAAATTTCAACCATTTCAGGTCATCAGACAGTTAGCTGAAGACAGAAGATGGAGTTCATGTCATGAACGGGGCAGATGGATGGCAGGTCAGGCAGTGGGACGTTTCTAAACGTTTATGAACAAAAGACAGAAACTGAACACGGAGCTGTGGATCAACGAACCGCAGCGGCTGCAGGGGGGGCGGGGCACCGCTCAACCACTGAAACACTGGTTTAATAGTTAGGGTTAGTGAGACTGGGAGGAAGGCAGGATCCAGCTGATGGACTGCCAATGAGCTGCGGCGCAGAGCCGCCCAGAGTGTCCCTGATGCACCAGCCCCAGGGAGCGGGCAGGAATCCTGGCCAGGTCAGGGAAAACAGATCAGAACAGGACTGTTCTGGGATCCAGGAGTCCGTAGACCCACCTGGGGTTCTGATCTGGACAGGAACAGATTCAGGGTTCCAGGAATCCATTGAATTTTAGGGGAGGTTCAGAGCTCCATGAGTCCAGCAGCCAGCTCAGACAGACAGGCTCAGTGGCTGAGGGACAGAGATAAGACATGTTACCAGGAGAACTGCAGAACTTTAAACTGGACTCCCCCAAGAGCCAGGCCTACGGGACTTAAAACTAGCCCCCCCTCCCTTGCTGAGCTAAATCATGAACAGAGAGCGCTCTGTGTTAATCAACCAGTGTTTGTGGTTAAGGTGGTGATGCAGCATGGTGTAAATCAGGGGTCTTCAATGTTTTCCCGGCCAAGGGCCCCAAACTGATGGTGAGATGGAGCA